CGGTTCGCTTCGCTTCAGTTCGCTTAGCTTCGGTTCAGTTCGCTTCGCTTCGGTTCGCTTCGCTTCGTATCGCTTCGCTTCGGTTCGCTTTCACAGATGCTCACGAAACGTACTCTAATCCGCTGAATATTGCGATCCCCGAACGAGTCAACCTACTTGACGTCATTTTGTTATTTGCATGTCGGGGTATTTCATTCTCCCACATGGATCGCATTAAGCAAACGCTCACGAAATGAGCTCTCTTTCCCTCTCCCTGCCTTTGTTTGGATCGTTTTTTTCTAAAGCAAAATTGATTTTTATTATTAGGATGTTAATTCAAAACAACCAAATGAATAAAAATGGACAGTGAATGAAAGTTGATGTGAAAACCTAGGCAGCTACAATAGCACCGATGATTAGCACCGACTTGTCACTGGCCAAACATGGCGGCAAATGTCATTCGTCGAATGAGTAGGCAGGCGTTCTTTCCGTGTCATGTTTGCTCTAAGCATTGCACAAAGATGGCGGCAAATGTCATTCGTCGAAAGAGTAGGCTTCGGTTCGGTTCGCTTCGGTTCGTTTCGCTTCGGTTCGGTTCGCTTCGGTTCGGTTTGCTTCGGTTCGGTTCGCTTCGCTTCGGTTCGCTTCGGTTCGCTTCGCTTCGGTTCGCTTCGCTTCCGTTCGCTTCGCTTCGGTTCGCTTCGGTTCGCTTCGCTTCGGTTCGGTTCGGTTCGCTTCGGTTCGCTTCGGTTCGCTTCGGTTCGCTTCGGTTCGCTTCGGTTCGGTTCGCTTCGGTTCGGTTCGCTTCGCTTCCGTTCGCTTCGCTTCGGTTCGGTTCGCTTCGCTTCGGTTCGCTTCGCTTCGGTTCGCTTCGGTTCGCTTCGCTTCGGTTCGGTTCGCTTCGCTTCGGTTCGGTTCGGTTCGCTTCGCTTCAGTTCGCTTCGCTTCGGTTCGCTTCGCTCCGCTTCGGTTCGGTTCGGTTCGGTTCGCTTCGCTTCAGTTCGCTTCGCTTCGGTTCGCTTCGGTTCGCTTCGGTTCGCTTCGCTTCGGTTCGCTTCGCTCCGCTTCGGTTCGCTTCGGTTCGGTTCGGTTCGCTTCGGTTCGGTTCGGTTCGGTTCGGTTCGGTTCGGTTCGCTTCGGTTCGCTTCGGTTCGGTTCGCTTCGGTTCGGTTCGCTTCGCTTCGCTTCGCTTCGCTTCGGTTCGGTTCGCTTCGCTCCGGTTCGCTTCGCTTCAGTTCGCTTCGCTTCGGTTCGCTTCGCTTCGGTTCGGTTCGCTTCGCTTCGGTTCGCTTCGCTTCGGTTCGCTTTCACAGATGCTCACGAAACGTACTCTAATCCGCTGAATATTGCGATCCCCGAACGAGTCAACCTACTTGACGTCATTTTGTTATTTGCATGTCGGGGTATTTCATTCTCCCACATGGATCGCATTAAGCAAACGCTCACGAAATGAGCTCTCTTTCCCTCTCCCTGCCTTTGTTTGGATCGTTTTTTTCTAAAGCAAAATTGATTTTTATTATTAGGATGTTAATTCAAAACAACCAAATGAATAAAAATGGACAGTGAATGAAAGTTGATGTGAAAACCTAGGCAGCTACAATAGCACCGATGATTAGCTCCGACTTGTCACTGGCCAAACATGGCGGCAAATGTCATTCGTCGAATGAGTAGGCAGGCGTTCTTTCCGTGTCATGTTTGCTCTAAGCATTGCACAAAGATGGCGGCAAATGTCATTCGTCGAAAGAGTAGGCTTCGGTTCGGTTCGCTTCGGTTCGCTTCGCTTCGGTTCGGTTCGCTTCGGTTCGGTTTGCTTCGTTTCGGTTCGCTTCGCTTCGGTTCGCTTCGCTTCGGTTCGCTTCGCTTCGGTTCGCTTCGCTTCGCTTCGGTTCGCTTCGCTTCGGTTCGCTTCGGTTCGGTTCGCTTCGGTTCGCTTCCGTTCGCTTCGCTTCGCTTCGGTTCGCTTCGCTTCGGTTCGCTTCGCTTCGCTTCGCTTCGCTTCGGTTCGGTTCGCTTCGCTTCGCTTCAGTTCGCTTCGCTTCGGTTCGCTTCGGTTCGCTTCGCTTCGGTTCGCTTCGCTCCGCTTCGGTTCGGTTCGCTTCGGTTCGGTTCGGCTCGGTTCGCTTCGGTTCGGTTCGGTTCGCTTCGGTTCGGTTCGCTTCGGTTCGCTTCGGTTCGGTTCGCTTCGGTTCGGTTCGCTTCGCTTCGGTTCGGTTCGCTTCGCTCCGGTTCGCTTCGCTTCAGTTCGGTTCGCTTCGCTTCGGTTCGTTTCGCTTCGCTTCGGTTCGCTTCGCTTCGGTTCGCTTCGCTTCGGTTCGCTTCGCTTCGGTTCGCTTTCACAGATGCTCACGAAACGTACTCTAATCCGCTGAATATTGCGATCCCCGAACGAGTCAACCTACTTGACGTCATTTGTTATTTGCATGTCGGGGTATTTCATTCTCCCACATGGATCGCATTAAGCAAACGCTCACGAAATGAGCTCTCTTTCCCTCTCCCTGCCTTTGTTTGGATCGTTTTTTTTCTAAAGCAAAATTGATTTTTATTATTAGGATGTTAATTCAAAACAACCAAATGAATAAAAATGGACAGTGAATGAAAGTTGATGTGAAAACCTAGGCAGCTACAATAGCACCGATGATTAGCACCGACTTGTCACTGGCCAAACATGGCGGCAAATGTCATTCGTCGAATGAGTAGGCAGGCGTTCTTTCCGTGTCATGTTTGCTCTAAGCATTGCACAAAGATGGCGGCAAATGTCATTCGTCGAAAGAGTAGGCTTCGGTTCGGTTCGCTTCGGTTCGCTTCGCTTCGGTTCGGTTCGCTTCGCTTCGGTTCGCTTCGCTTCGCTTCGGTTCGCTTCGCTTCGGTTCGCTTCGCTTCGTTCGCTTCGGTTCGGTTTCGCTTCGCTTCGGTTCGCTTTCACAGATGCTCACGAAACGTACTCTAATCCGCTGAATATTGCGATCCCCGAACGAGTCAACCTACTTGACGTCATTTTGTTATTTGCATGTCGGGGTATTTCATTCTCCCACATGGATCGCATTAAGCAAACGCTCACGAAATGAGCTCTCTTTCCCTCTCCCTGCCTTTGTTTGGATCGTTTTTTTCTAAAGCAAAATTGATTTTTATTATTAGGATGTTAATTCAAACAACCAAATGAATAAAATGGACAGTGAATGAAAGTTGATGTGAAAACCTAGGCAGCTACAATAGCACCGATGATTAGCACCGACTTGTCACTGGCCAAACATGGCGGCAAATGTCATTCGTCGAATGTTGTTATTTTTTCTTTTGAAATAGTTTATTTAAACAAAATAATACAAAAAGTATAACCAGTCTTAACAATAATTCCCCAATCAGTGTTTGCAAACACTGGCCCCGAGAATAACAAGACAATAATCAATATCTATGAACTACAGTTTGCTCTAGCACTGCACCACAAGTTTTTTTCCTGTGGCTGTGGGCTCGAAAGGGGCTCATGAAATATTGTCGGGGTTGGGTGGGCGGTTCGCTCTTCGGTTCGTTCGCTTCGGTTCGCTTCGGTTC